ATAGAATTTTGCAAGACCAATGACTTGTTCATTGCAAATACCTTTTTAAACAACATAAACAGTAGCTATACATGTGGAGTTCACCAGGTGGAATACACAGGAATCAGATCAACTATGTTCTGGTTACCTAGTGCCACTCTGACAAGAATATACCACAAATGGGATGGCCTTAACAAACAGAAGTTTATTCTTACAATTTGGAGGCTTTAAGTCCCAGTTCAAAGTGCCAGGCTCTAGGGGCTGTATGAAAGTCCCTCAACCTTGGGCTTCAGCTCTGCCTCTTGCTCCCAGCCCACTGAAGCTAGAGATACCTCGTCACTCAGGCAGCTACTGGCTGCTGAGGCTAACAAGCCAAGGTTGACAAATAAAATGGCACAGTCTCAATGTTACCAAACCACATGGAAGGCCATTAATTTAAGTCCATTGTAAGTCCCATGGTTGGCAGAGCATGACAGGCTGCTGACCAACACACAGCTACATGCGGGGTCCAAGCGTGCCATAAGCTAGACACTATCCCCTAGGCTTCTCATTATATACAGAAAGCAGATCACTTTCCCTAAGGCAGCTACTCAGCTGCTCACAGTAGATTCCACCATGGAGTTGATTACCAGTCTCATCATGGAGAATACTACAACCAGGCCCACCCAAGTTGACACACAAACTGAACTACCACAATTCCACCCCTTGTCAACTTGGCATCTGTACGTATCTTTCTCACTGGGTAGCTCCAGTCCCCTAATTCCTCTAAGTGGCAACCTCATCCCTTGGCCTGGCGGGCCCATTCCTCTCCCTCTTGGGCATGGAGGCCCTGCCCCCTCATTCTTCGGCAGTGGCTATGGCTCCATTCCACTGGCTCACATGAATGAGCAACCCCACACTCCAAAACTAAGTTGTTGAAGGCCTGGCCCTTTGAACTTGGACTTAAAGCCTCCAAACTGTAGGAGAATGAACTCCCATTTGTTAAGGCCATCCCATTTGTGGTATATTCTTGTCAGAGTGGCACTAGGTAACCAGAACAAACTACATATGTGGAAAGAGGCTATGGAGAAGCTCAATATATTCAGCCAAAACAACACCAGGAACTGAATGTGGAATAGACTATCAATTGCTCATGTTGTTGTTGTTGTTATGTGCCGTTGAGTCAGACCTGACTCATAGCAACCCCTCCTTGGGTTTCCCAGGCGGTGTCACTATGGAAGTAGATTGCCCAACCTTCCTTCCGAGGAGTGGCTGGTGGGTATGAACCGCCAGCCTTCTGGTTAGCAGTCAAGTGCCTTAGGTACTACGCTACCAGAGCTCCCACCAATTGCTCATATGCAAGTCAAATTGAAGCTAAAGCCAATTAAAACAAGCCCATGAGAGCCAAAATATGACCTTGATTATATCCCACCTGAATTTAGAGACCATCTGAAGAATAGATTTGACACAGTGAACACCAAGGACTGAAAACCAGACAAATTGTGGAATGACATAAAGAACATCATCCATGAAGAAAGCAAAAGGTCATTAAAAAGACAGGGAAGGGAGAAAAGACCAAAATCAATGTCAGACGAGACTGAAACTTATTCTTGAACAAAGAGTAGCTAAAGCAAATAGAAGATATGACAAGTTAAAAGAGCTGAACAGGAGATTTCAAAGAGCAGCTTGAGCAGACAAAGCCAATTACTATAATGAAATGTGCAAAGACCTGGAGTTAGAAAACTCAAAGGAAAGAGCACACTTGGCATTTCTCAAGCTGAAAGAACTGAAGGAAAAATTGAATCCTAGATAGCAATGCTGAAAGACTCTATGGGCAATATTAATATTGGAAGATTCTATATTGAATGATTCAGGAAGCATCAAAAGAAGATTGAAGGAAATACCCATAGTTGCTGTACAAAAAGGAATTGGTTGATGTTCAACTATTTCAGGATGTAGCATATGATCAAGAACCAATGGTGTAGAAGGAAGAAGTTGAACCTGCATTGAAGGAATTGGCATAAAACAAGGTTCCAGGAATAGATAGAATAACCATTCAGATGTTTCAGCAAACAGATGCCTCACTGGAGGCACTTACATGTCTCTGCCAAGTAATTTGGAAGAGAGCTACTTGGCCAACATGCTTGAAGAAAGCCATATTTGTAGCCACTGCAAAGAAAGGTGACTCAATAGACCTTGGAAATTTTTGAACAATATCATTAATATCACACACAAGTAAAATTTAACTGAAGATCGTTCAAAAACAGTTGGAACAGTATATTGATAGGGAATTTCCAGAAATGCAAGCTGGATTCAGAACAGGACATGGAATGAGGGATATCATTGCTGATGTTAGATGGATCTTGGCTGAAAGCAAAGAATACCAGAAAGGTGTTTACTTGTGTTTTATTGACTTTGCTAAAAAAGCATTCGACTGTGTGGATCATAACAAATTAGGGTAACATTGAGAAGAAAGGGAATTCCAGAACAGTTAATTGTACTCATGAGGAGCCTGTACATAGACCAGGAAACTGTCATTTGAACAGAACCAGGGGATACTGCATGGTTTAAAATCAGGAAGGGTGTATGTCAGGATTGTATCCTTTCACCATACTTATTCAATCTGCATGCTAAGCAAACATCCAAGAAGCTGAACTATATGAAGAAGAATACAGGATCAGGATTGGAGGAAGACTCATTAACAATCTGCGATATGCAGATGACACAACCTTGCTTGCTGAAAGTGAAGATGACTTGAAGCACTTACTGATAAAGATTGAAGACTACAGTCTCCAGAATGGATTACACCTCAACATAAAGAAAATGAAAATCCTCACAATTGGACCAATAAGCAGCATCATGATAAATGGAGAAAAGACTGAAGTTGTCAAAGAGGTCATATTACTTGGTTCCATAATCAACACCAATGGAACCAGTAGTCAAGAAATCAGACGTTGTATTGCACTGGACAAATATGCTGCAAAGAAACTCTAAAATGTTAAGCAAAGATGTCTTTTTGAAGGCCAGAGTATGCCTAAACCAAGCCATAGTATTTTCAGTGGCCTCATATGCACATGAAAGCTGGACAGTGAATAAGGAAGACCAAAGAAGAATTGATGCTTTTGAGTTGTGGTGTTGGGGAAGAATACTGAAAGTACCAAGGACAAATCTGTCCTGGAAGAAGTGCAGCTGGAATTCTCCTTGGAAATGAGAATGACCAGACTTCATCTCACCTACTTTGGTCATTTTATCAGAAGGGACCATTCCCTGGAGAAGGATATCATGACTGATAAAGTAGAGGGTCAGCAAAAATGAGGAAGACCCTTAATGAGATAGATTGACACAGTGGCTATAAGGGTGGGCTCAGGTATAGCAAGGATTGTGAGGATGGTGCACGACTGGGCAGTGTTTCGTTCTGTTGTATACAGGGTTGCTATGAGTCGGAACCTACTCAAAGGCACATAACAACAACAATTCATTCATCTGATGGGAGTCATAAAGCCATGGCTAGAAGAGCCATATTAAATAATTTACAGCACCACAGGTAGAAACATAATGAATTATTAATATTTTTGCTTTAGACAATTATATTGTATGGCATTTAAAAATAAAAAATTAACTTTATATTTATCTGCATTTATTCTATGTTCAGAACTCTTCATTTTTTGTCTATGCCATAAGTTACCAAAGTTTTTTTTTTTTAAATATGGTAAAATTTATAACTATTAGCATTTACAACTAATACCAGCTCCTACCTTCTCCTGGTTTTGTTAGGTAACAGGGAATATGTTTGACTTGTGTAATTCATTTGTGCTCACTTAGAATTTCAGAACTATTTGACTGCATGTATCAGAAGAGTTCCTGGCCTAGTGTTCAACGTCTGACAGGTTCACTTCAAATGATCTTATTTTTAAAGATGTGTTTAGAAGTTCTCTTTCTGAAGTTAAAACTTGAGCCTATTTTTTGTGAGTCTTTTTGTTTCTGCCTCTTAACTCCTTGCTCTCATGTGTAGAGGATGAAGACCACTTTGTCTTACTTTCTAACACTCCCATTTTAGTAACATTGCACATGTATAAAGATAGTTAAGAGTCCCTTCTCATCACAATTCTCTTTTGTAGATAAAAACATTCTGAACTTCTTTAAGGTTATTACATAGAGAAGGACCTGCCATTTTTTTTGTAGTATTTTTTCCTGAACATTTCACAGAATTATTTTAGTCAGAATAGGTGTAAATAGGGAGCTCTGGTGGAGTAGTGGGTAAGGCATTTGGTTGCTGACCACAAGGTCAGCAGTTCAAGCCCAACCAGGGGGCTCCATGGGAGGAAGATGAAGCAATCTACCTCCGTAAAGTTTCACAGCCTTGGGAACCCAATGGTGGTCAGTAAGAGTTGGAATTGACTCCATGACAGTGGGCTTGGGGTTGGATGTGTAAATAAGTAGTAGTAATATTCACCAAGATAAAGGAGCCAGGATTCTTATGGGGCTAATATTGGTTTTGAGCAAGTCCTAGGGCACCAAAAGAAGAGAGTGTTAATTTTAAAGGTCCCAGCTTGAGACCCTTGAGAATTTAAGTTATAAATATATGAGTTCTGACTGCTCTGACTCTTTAGATTTATGTCTATGATCCTTGTAGTAAAGGGCTGAATTTGAACCCTCTCCCTGCAGCTATGACTTATCTTAGTCTAGACACATACTTTTTCAAAAGTTCAAGGATTCTGAAATTGAGTACGTGCCCTTTAAAAGCTATGTTTAGCTGAGAACCTGGTTTATTCTAGACTCTACGAAATGCTCTAGGTATGTTACTTGTCTAAGGGTGGGGCAGGAGGAAAAGAGAAGAATGCGAAATCTTGAATTTTTCTGAATAAAGTATATTTAGTTATGAGGGGGAAAAACTGAACAGGTAGGGCTGATTTTGTAGTGGAATTTCTAAGCACTTATATTAGTTATGAAGATAACTAGAAGACTGACTTACTTTCAAGCTGTCCCCTTTAATTCAGTGTCCAGAGCATAACGTTTTCTTTTTGTTTTTTTTCCCCCTCAAGGGGTGCTACATCCATTGTATACAGATGCAAACAGAAGGGGACCCAGAAGCCTTATGCTCTCAAAGTATTAAAGAAAACAGTAAGTGTATTTCATTATATAATAGCATTTTTAAGGGACCTGGTGACCTGGAGAAATCAGGAATCTTGACTTAAAAGACAAAAAGGCCAGGGAGCCACTATGAACAATTCACTGTTTGAATCTTGATTGTGAGAGTGCAATCAAATTTGTTGTTATCTGATGAAAACCACATGTCTCTTAAAAAACAACTGGTTCTCAGATAGGATGTTCTGGGAAGGGAAAAGGAAAGAGAAAGTAAAAACATTTAAAGCTTACAAGTAAGTACACCTCACTTTATATATATGCCATGTTCGTGAA